TCATCGTGAATGATATCATGGCCAGCCCTGGTGGTACTCGTCGTGCACGGTACACTGGGCAACCAAAAGTATTTGCGTGAGACTTGCATTTATCACCGCAAAATGTTTTCTTGTTTCCGTACAGTGTCGTCATCGGCGACTGCTATTCTGGAGAATCCAGGTGCTTGGTGGTCAACGATTATACGATGCTACAATTATTACTGGTTACAAATTGGTGATGGCCTGTGCTCGTCATGGATATTCGTTTTCTGCAGACTGCTATGGATCTGTACAAGTACCTGAGAGATAGTTTGCTGCACGTGCACCTTTGCACATGAGGTCTGGTAAGAGACCTGTAGCATTCTCATTTCATGTCCAGTTTACAGAACCTGGCCAAACTTGTGCAGAGACGTTTCACTGAATTGAGGAAATAGAGGCCGTGCGTCCATGCGTGTCGGCGTGCGTTTGTGATTGGTTCCCAACCCAGGGATGAACCCAAGCCCGGGATGGGGGATGCTAAGAATCTGCGAGCCGCAGGCTAAAACATCCTAAGGGCAGGTTCTGAGGGTCACCCTGTTACTTCCCCTTGTTAAGGTCCTAAACCTTTTGGGGGATTGTGTTTTGTGTGCAGCCGACATGTACATGCGAATGCATTTGGCTCAAGACCTTGATAATAGAATCGAGGCAAACATCCAAACACAGCTGTGAAGCAAAGCAAGAGGGTTCGTGTTCCGCGGGCGCTTCGAGTCGTGAGACGACAGATCATTTACTTACAACCCCCTTCTACCACGGCCAGTACTATACGATTTGCTGTCGAGGGCATTGGTCACCCCACGGGAGTCGAACCTCAGCTGCCCTGTCATTTGACTACGTGGTTGATCCGCCTCCTGGCAGGTCCACCAGCAGGCATGGCGTCCACGGTGAAGACTTCCTGCCCTGGAAGAGGGCGCGTGCGGGTCCAAGTGACTCCGCGCGGGCGCAGCTCGGTCACAGCCGCCTCAGCGCGCGGGGCGCGGGGCTCCTCCAGCCGCCCGGTGCACATGAAGCCGTTGAGAGAGCTCGGAGGTCATGGTGCGAATTGATCTTGAGCCGAATAAATGCTTTCTATATATCGATTAAAAAATAATTAGTGCTCGGATGAACAAGGCGGTCGCTCAAATGGTTTTTCTGTCCGGGATTCTCGCGTGCCCATCTACCGCCTCAGGGCCTCGGCGGTGTCGCCCTGCATGGCCGCCGAGGCGAGGAGCTCCCTGCAGGCCTCCTCCAGCTCCTTGCGCGCCTTGTCGACCCGTTCCATGGCTATGCGGCTTGCATTCTTGCAAGATTGTTTTCCTTATAGTAGCTGTTTGCTACAAACTACAACAGCCGCGACGCTTCGACGTGACTTTTAACTTTTCTGTGGTGAAAAGGGGGACACGTTGCATCAAGCTGCCGCTGGAAATTTCACACCTTACGTTTCCACTTAAAATTTATGCAGGCATTCGGGTTCGCGGGCTGCATCTTGTTTTTTAAAAGCAGCGAGGGGCGTGCTGCTTGATCACTTATCGTTTCAATTGCAAGGGCACACTGGGAAGACTTCGCCCCATTGCTATGTGTTTTCATCACCCGGCCGAGGTGTTTTTCTGGCGCTGTGGCGTTGCTCCCGCATTAGTTGGATGGCGCTCGGGTGTTTCGGATGCAGCGGTGAGGCTGTGGATCTTCTGGACCACAACGATGTCGCTTTGCTTTTTCACATTTGCGGGTTTGGAGCTTCAGCAGCATGGGTGATGCTACTTGCTAGTTATTGAGGAATGCGGTGCAGCTGCTGCACTTGTTTTGCATGAGGCTCGCTGCCCTTGAACATTCATGGCGTTCTGGCTTTTTCTGGGCTCCTTTGTGACTTCAGTGTTGTCTTACTATCCGTTTACCTTGAGCTGACGCGGTGTACTTTCTTCCTTACTTTGGGCACTCTTTTCACTTCCGAATGTGCACACATCATGAGATTGCTTCAGCAATCTGTCTCACAATGTTATGGCGAGGATCGCTGGTTGAGACATCTGTTTCCCAGTTGGTTGCTCTCCTTAGTGTGGCACTGGAGACTCTTGTCTCCCTGGTGTACGCATTGCTTTGGGCAATTTGTGTATTAGCCATCATGTGTTCTCCTCTGTTTCCCAGATGGCTTTGGCTTCAGTTTCGATTGATTGTGTTTTACGATGCTCCGGATGGGATTGCGTGGCGTGTTTTGTTTGGTTTGCTGCTTCTGTTTCGTGTTCGTTGTTTTGTGGTGCCAGCGTTTTCTTCTTTGATATCCTCGGCGTGTCGTTTACGAGATGTTTCTGCGCTGTAACAGCCGACCCGCCTGATCGCATCGGCCGCATGGATTAAAAAACACGTACTTTATTGTCGATAGCCTGCCTACGGGTCTGTGGATGCGGAGCTTGAATCCTTGGCAGCGATGATGCTACACCTGTGCCGCATGATAGTTACGATCCTCACAGAGAAGTTTGCTTTAGTCCTGGTCAGTGTTTATGTTGGGTTTGCTTGGATTTTGACATGATGCGCATGTCTCTTGGCGGATTCTGATGTCGATTGTCTGCGGGGTGGTTTGGAACCGGGGGTTGAACTGTCTTCTGGCTGCCAACTGCAGCAGTTCGTTGCCCTGCCCGGCTATGGTTGCTGCTCGCTCCCTTGGAGAAACGGGTATTGTGACTGGCAATTGCATTTGTTTTTCGTCCTTGCGATTATGTGGTACATGTTTGTGTCCTCGCGACCTTTTTTGCAGTGTTTGCCTCGTGGCTTTCGGTTCTCGATTGGACCTATGGCATCCTTGTGGATGGAATAGTGGAGGATGTGCTGGTAGTGGCATTCGCCTAATTGCGGATGGCTATTGGAAGTTCTTTAGCTGTGTGTACATTGGCTTAAGAGAAGCCTGGTTTGCTGGCCCTGGTGGGAGGTCCTCAGGTTTGTGCCTGGCGTTTCACCTTGCTGCAACATTGCATGGCCTATTCTCTGACTGGGAGCTGGCCTTGCCTATTGTGCAGTTTTGTAGCTTGTTGTTTAGATTTGCTTTCTGTGGGAAAGCATGACCTGAGGTCGTGACCTGTACCTGGCCTACGTTTGTTGTTCGGTCCTCCGGATAGCATTAAGTCAGGAATTCGTTTGATGCCCGCCGCTTCTTTGAACTTTGGCCTTGGCTTTCTCTTTGTCGACCAGTGATTGTGCTGCAGGCGACATGGGAAAAACAAAATCTGTGGCGGAAAGTCATTGCACCGGATTCGCACATCGTCCCGCGTCAGAGGTTTCAAATTGCCTTTGCACTCGCACGTATCGCGCGCCGCGGCGCGCACGAGAGCCAGGTCCAACAATGACCGCTGACCAACTGGTCCATAAGGCATTGGGCGCAAAAAAAAGCACGAGAGCCAGGTCCTTGGTAGGAGCAGCACGGTTTTGTTGCATATGTTGTTTGCCACGATGCAGTCCATGTTCGTTGAAGAGCGGCTGGACCTTCCAACGATACTCCGTGCTTGTCTACGAGCCTCTTCTTGAACGGAATTATCGCGCCTTTGGAAGATGGTGTCGACTGAACCATAAACGAAAGTTCACTCCTTGCTTGAACTTAGGCGGCACCTACGCATAAGCGAAGATGCTTCAGTAATTTCTGTGATTGTCCTCCAAATGGACGTAGACCTTGTGCTTCTCGCGAAGCATGAGGAGCAGCTTGGTTGGCAGCATAGGCTCTGGTATTTGCTGCATGCAGATGCGGTTTGTCCGTCTTACGCCGCTCCTAAAAGACGGAAAACTTGGTGATCATCACAGGGCTGTCGAATGTGCACGCCGCAAAGACTTGATCGAACACTTCGGCGAACGTCTGCTTGCTGTAGTTCCTGGGAGCTGTTCTTCCTTCACCAGGCGCTCACGGATTGGCGAAAGCGACGTGGAACAGCCTGTGCGGCCTGGCGACAGATGGGAGACAGGAAGGAGAAAAGAAAAGAAGGTGAAAATATAAAGAGAAAAGGGACAGAGGAAAGGAGGGAAGTGGCAGAGAGTCATTCTCCACTTCACTCTTCCTTCCGCACCTGTCTCTCCTGTCTTTCATAATCACCGGCGAGTTGATGAGAAAGGAATAGCCGGTGAAAGAGGCAAGGAAGAGATCCCAGAGAACGCCAAGACAGCTGCGGAGAGAGGCAAGACTAGCAGACGTATGCATTTCGGGTAAACACCCGAAGCATGATAATCACGCATTGCCGTGTCCATGCGTAGGCGACCTATGTAGCCTGGCGACAGCTTGCCCACGAAGCGCAGTCGTGTAAGTAGCATTTTTTATAATATTTTCTGAAGTACAACCCCAGGACAGAATGTCTCCGGGGTACAAACCTTTTCCGGAACCGAAACCCCGGCGCAGGTGGACAACGCCACTCTCGCGTTTTTCACAGAGGTTTCAAAAGCTCAGATATTATATATGTATATATATATATAATTATTCGTTTCAAAATTCATTTCCTAAATACACCGTAATTATGAAGTTCAAAGTTTGGCAGCTGTTTTTTGTCAGGCCGTTGGCTTTGGTGGCAATTCCTAGTAGTTTGTGCTGGTTCCAATTGGACGCTTTTTGTCCATGGCCACTGAGTGCAGGGCTTGAGCTTGAAGGTTTTGGCTGCTTGTGGACAGGTGAGGGTCAGTTTTGCTGGCTCTTTCGTGAGTTGCAGATGGTTTGGCTCGCACCCGAAGCCTCAGCTTCGTCTTGGGAACAAGAAATGGTCCTGTGAAAACCCGAAAACCGGCAGCTGAAGTATTGATTGCTTTCACGCGAGCAGCTGCCGTGAACAAATGACGAGATTGTGAGTTGTCAGCCGGCCTGCAGCGTTTGCTCCCAGCATGTTGGTCAATGGAAGCTCAGCATTGCTTATGAGTTTGAAGAACATGCATTCAGGCAACCCTTAGTTGGTGGTTTGGCTTTTGTAGAGGGTACATGGGAAACCCCTCCTCAACCACCAAACCAATTAGAGGGTTCTGATGCATCATCTTTCTGGATCAGGTTCCCTTGATCAGGCAGCCGTCTTTTTTCATGAATGCAGAATGGCGATGCCAGAATTGCGGAAGATCTCCCTACTCTATCTCCCATCCTGGCACTCCTGCTCAGGCCGGGCAATTCATTTCTTTGGCAAAGCAGAAGTTGTTTAATTTGGATGATGAAACCATCGAGTCGATGCAGCAAGGTATGTCGTGGCCGCAAAGTAGAAGGTTGAGTCTGATGTTATTGGAACCGATTGAACGAGCAACCGCTTGCAACACGCTTCCAGCCAGCCGAGAGCAGCTCCGCCAGCACATGAAGCGCTCGCTGAAACGATGAGAGACAAGTGGGGAAGCCTTTTAGTGGTGGAGATGTCATCAACAGGTCACGCCCAAATCAGGTCCCCCAGACACACTGCAACTGACTGCAACCGACTGGATATGGACCAACAATACATTGATCTAACATCATAGCCGAACTCTCATGCGCTTTGGTTTGTTGCCGCTTTCAAGTGTGGTTTTCCACTTGTTACAGCTCAGTGTCCGCAGGTAACATCCTATTTTCTTATTTTTGCAGATGTTCCGTTGGAGATCTTCCGGTTCACCACCCGTGCCTCCGGCTGAGTTTCAGGAGCCTTTGAGGCGCACTTTTCCCATCGAGAGCGCGCTGCCTGAGAAGGCGGCGGACCTGGCAAAGATGCACCAGGCACCGTGTTTTTCCGCTTTCCAGGCGCGTCTTTCCTCTCCCCTCGCAGTGAAAGACGACGCGTGCTGGTGAGTATGAATCCCTTTTGTGTGGCTGCTTTCGATCCACTTTGGTGCCGGGAGGCTGCGCTTTTCTATGACATGAAGTCGTCTTCTAAAGCCATCCTGCGTGGTTTTAGGATCGATCATCTGGCCTTCGCCGGTCTCAGTGCCATAGGGGCAGATGACCTCACCGCTGAGGCACTTGACAATTTCCTTTCTGCAACACTGCTGGTTGTTCCGTTGCTTTGTTGGCTCTGCTGCTTTCGGAAGACATGCAGGCGTGATCAAGGGGATACTCAGGTTGATGGCGCAGAGCAAGAGACATGCATGGGGTATCTCATGTGGCAGGCACATGTCTTCCACAAAATGCCAGCCATCAGCTGAAGCGATGGGAATTTGATGGCAGGAGTGCCTGAAACGATTGTCTGCCATGTCTGGCCATCAAGACGGCGGTGACCCCAGCATGGCAGGATTGTGAGAGGGTGCCCTTGTTTACTTTTCTTCGGAGCTTTAAATGCAATCCAAGTGACGGCGAACCCCAAGTTTTAGTGGCCACTTTTGCTGCAAAATCATATCTGCCAAGCGCTGAGGTAGTTGTTGGGGTGAAGTGTTCTTCTCGGTGGCCGCAGTATGGCGAGGTAGTTGTGGAATTTGCAATGAGTCGGAGAGGTGCAATTGCCCGGAGCTCAATTTTGCAAGAAGATGCCGGTTCAATGGGGAACAGAGCTGCCAACGAGCGCTCTTAGAAAAGCCATTCTTGCAAACCGAGGTGAAGAAGTCTTCAGAGACTTGGAGTCAAGTCTGCATCGCTGGCAGAGCCTTCTGCAGCGTTGGTCCAACAGGACGAGTGCTTGGTGCATCGAGGCAAGCAAGAGAATTGACTTAGGTGAGTTAGTTCCACAGTTGGCCAGGCACGCCGGGTGCTTCAATCAGAGGCCAGCGGCCCAGAGTTTGAAGTGCGGTAAAGCCCATTCTGAAGATCAGAGGCTGCACCGTCTACGCAGGCTGCGCAGACTGCGCCGGCTGCATCTGAGTTGCTCGGCAAAGATCCGCTTGATGCATGTAGGACGAGGGTGCAATTGCCCTTTGCCTGCAGCATGTTGCAATTGCCCTGAGGCCTTCCTGCTCTGGCACCGAGCCGCCGTGTATGGAGTACTGAGTGACGCAGCGCAGACACGGCGCTGACGCGGACCGTGCCGCGTTCGAAGGGGAACCGCAACGAGACTGCGAGACGATCTGGGAGCTGGCAAGGTGCTTTGAGGGGCATCCGACATGGCGCCTGGGCCGCTAGGGACTGTGGGATTAGGTACCTAGCCCTGCCTGGCAATGAGGGAGAAGGTGCCTGGAAAATAGATCCGCAGAGGTCAGGCTCTGCGGCTGAGAGTCATCTGCCTTTGCCTTGCACAAGCCTTCCGTGCAGGCGTTTTCGGGCCAAGGCATTGAGAGCCCGAAGGCAAGCCGGAAAGCAACATGGCCCGGCCATGGAACGGAATCTGCCCTCTAGAAATTTGAAAACAAAACAAAGACAAAACCAAGCCTGATCGGCCGAGCCAGCGGGGCGTGTGAGCCATGAGTCTCGATCCGCATGTCTGGCACTGAGGCTATCCCCCCACAAACCACCCAAGCAAGCGGCGATGTGCCTGGTTTACGTGGAGCAGGTTTTTGAAGGTGTTGCTGTGTCGGTTGGTGCCGTATTGCTAGGCAGCAACACAAACCGGCCATATAAGATCCTCATCGCTGTGTATTGTTTGACCCCACATGAGACGTGCTGAGGGGCGATGAGCACCTTCGAGCGATCTATGGCACTGCTCTGAGCACATTTGTGCATGTTCAACAGGCGTTGACGGATTCGCGACCAACAGAGCTACAGGGGATGTCTTCACTTTTCTGTTCCAAAAAGAAAACAACAAATACGTTGCAGCGTGCCACTCGAATAGTTTTTGCATTTTTCTTTTAAGCACAAATGGCCCTAGGGCACCTTATTTTGCGCATGATCACACTTTTGGACTCACACTTCATGATCACTTTCCTTTTGCAATGGCGCTGAACGTCAACTTTGGACCAGACAGTTGCAGCAATTTCATGTGGATGATCCAAAGCGCAGCGCTGTCAGATCAACATAGATAATAGCAGTTGATTCTTCTGACAATAAATTTCAGGGTCGAGGGCAAGAACGTCAAGTGGCCATGGGTCAAACATAAACCACCTCGGGACCGCATAATTTTGTCCTTGTTTCCATTGACCAGGGCAACCCATTTTGTGTACCTATTTTTGCCTCACAGCCAAGTCTAGGCTCAAGTTATGTTTAGAAGAAGAATCTCGGAAGTGCGAGGGACCGCCCTCTCTGGGAGTCCCAGGCAGGCGCCACGACTCCTCCTCGGCGCAGCGGGCGAACCCCAGCCGCGCGCGCAGAAAGCAACGGGCAGGGGAGGGGTTGGCCCCGCAGACGGCTGCAGGACTTCTGCGGACCCGAGTTTTCGGCCTCGCCTGCGCCCGAGGTTTCGGAGATGTACATGGCACAATTTCTGGATTCAAGCTGTTTTTGTTGTTTCTCTGTTTTGGTTATTTTTTTCTTCTCCTTTTTGTTCTTCTCATTTTTTGTTTCTTCTCCTCTTTGGGATTCATTGCTTCAAGCATGTCTAGGCCTGCGCTGCCTGGTTCCCGACGCGGCGAGGCCAGCTGAAAGATGCACAGATCGACTCTCCGATTTCGGATGTCGGTCCGATTTGCAAAGGCGACACAGCGCACCTACCTCGAAGACAGTGCGGGTGCTAAGCCTTCAAGAGATGTTTTGATGGCATCTGTAACAGGTGCAGTGACCGTACAGATCCGCGGGTCTCACGGCCAGGCTCGGATGAGAGTTTGGTTTTGGGGGGTGAGTTGCCCAATTCGTTTTTCAGGGATCAGTGTCGAGTCTTTCTTTTTCTCAATCGTGCAGGCTCAGTGTTCGCACACGTCACATCGTAAGGCGAGCCTTGAAATGAGCCGACTGGCTAGGTGGCTGTTGGCGATAGTGCGGCCACCCTGGCGGCCAAGAAACCTGCCCGAGCCCCTGGGCCGGTGTTTCAGCTTTCCATTGGATCCAACGAGGTGAGCTCGCTGGACGCCTGGCTGGGCCCAGTGGGGCTCCTAGGGCTCCATTTGCCTGTTGGAAACCGGCACCCGCGTGAGGACTCGCAGCCGGGGCCTCGGCGTGTCCCGTCCGGTTTGCGTCTGCAGACTTTGGGCCTCCGGGCCTCATATCTCTCCGTCGATGTCAGCGACATGGTTTGGGTAGGTGCACCACCCATTTTAGTCTTTGTAGTGGGGGTTGGGATGTTCGCTGGGAGTGCGGGATGTTGACCCATGGCGATATCTGGTAGCTTGACCATGGCTTGCCCGCGTCTGCGACCAAGCGGACGGAGGTTGCGGCGGGCGCGGTCCCTGCCGACCGCCGCCTTCGAAGGGTCACCAGCGCCGCACCCGTGCCGCTCCCTGGCGCCGCACCTGGTGCGCCCGGTTTTGGAAGGAGGGTTGGGTCAAAATGAGCCACCAGGATATGGACCCCAGGTGGCTGTTGTTTCCATCCAGGGCTTGCCCCATTTTGGGGCCACCCAAATTAATTTTTGACCCATGAGAGACAAAAGCGAAACGCCCCGCAAAAAAAAGCGCCGACTGGTTCGGAGTGACGGGGTCCTTCGGGCCGTCAGGTACTGGACTTTGGGCCCAGCGGCAGCTCGGAGGACCTGAGAGAAGAATGAGCCTCAGGTGGAGTCCTTGAAATCTACGGGTGTGAGGACGACCGAGTCACACGCCTGCGGCCGGCCAAGGAGGCTGGACACCTGGGTTTCGCAAGAGACTAGTGGTTCCTTTTTTTGGTTTCCTGTTGGTTTCCTCCCAATCTGACCAAGCAGGAACGTGGCAGATCTAGGTTTTTTTTTGGTGAGCTTGCCCCCTGTCCAGAGTCTCAGGCCATTCTTTGCCTTGCCTGCGGCAGCCAGTTGGCCACGGACGCGAACTTTTGCCCCAAGCGGCCTGGCGTGACGTGTTCAGTTCGCAACACCCGAAGCACCAGTACAAATGGGCCGCCAGCCTATGAAACAAGCTTCTTGCAATGCTTCCCTCGTTTGACTCAGCCACGCTTTTTGAGTGTCTGAATCGGTCTGATTTTGGAGACCAATGGAGTTGGAAGGTGCGGGCGATCCCGGGAGTCGCACGAGCTCCGCGAGATCCGGGAGGCGGCGAATGGGAAGCCCCTCAAGCGGTTGGCGGACATAAATCCACCGGAGTGATGTATAGGCGATCCGCCGGTCCGCAAGTCAAGTTCAAGTCCGAGTTGGTGTTTGGACAAGGTGAAAGAGGCACTCGAAGTTGTAAGAGCCTCACTCACAGAAGCCTTCTTGTACTGTGCAGCCGAAATGGTTTCCATTGGCGTGGTGTTCAGGAGAGGCCCAAGCGCCCGGAGAGACGTGTTCACCTGAATCGGCGCCAGGCACTCAGTCGGGAGGTTTGTGGGCCGTCCAGCGAGAGACTTTGCAATTCGAGCCATGGGATATGGGTGTGGGTCAAAATTAAGCCACCAGGGGGACCGCAGGTTTTCCAGGGATCCATTTTGGGTATGGCCATGTTATTGGTCCACTTTGCTGACGGCCGACTAAGGCGCAATGTCCTCGGGCAGCAGCGGTGATCAAGTAAGGCCAGAGGCTGAGGTCCTTTGAACCGTTCTGAACCGTCGGAAATTTGGACCCGCAACCAACCTGCCCCAAAGGGCATGTGACCAGGCGAGGTGCATCGCTGTCCCGGCGGCAGATCTTGTTGTGCCCTGAGACGGCGGTTGCATCCAATCGACGATCCAGGTTTTTGTACCCCCCCGTATGGCTGTGGATCAAACCAAAGGAAGCATTTTGGGGTTGGTGCACCACCCATTTTAGAACCGGGGATTGGGATGTTCACTGGGGGTACGATTCGGATTTTGCCCCATGGCCATACTCCTGGCATTCCTAGAGCCCTCACATTTACCAGGGCCATGTATTTTTCCAAAAGCCCACACGTGGCACCTGCATCACCCGGGTGACTTTTGCCTGGCGGCTTCAGGCCCTCGGACAGTGAGGAGGTCACCCTGGAGCCGGAGGCAGTGAAGGCGCTTTGGACCGCGGCCAAAAAATGAGGCTACGTTTTCCGATTTAAAGACTTGGAATCTCAAAAGTGGCTATGGATTGGAGTTTTTTGTGGCTTCTTGGCTTCTTGGCTTCTTGGTTTATGCGGCTTTTGGTGGCTTTGGCTTTTCGCGTCCTCTGCTTTCCCAGTTCCTCTCCGGGCTTTTTGGCTTTTGCACCCTTTCATTGGTTTTTGGCTTTGGCTTGCCACATCCTCAGCCTCACCAGTTCCTCTCCGGCAAGTGTTCTTTACATTTATTTATGTTTAAGTATGTCTGCATGTATGTATGTAATCTTATGTAGTGTATGTAATCTATGTATGTATGTTTGTCTGTCTGTCTGTCTGTTCCCCCCCCCCAACCCCCCCTGCTGCTTTTTAGATTCTCTACAGAGATTGAACTGCACCCCCATTTGAATCATCACTTCTTCGAACATCATGTGGGGGGGCTGCCGCCCTCCCCCAACCCACACGCTACTGTTTAGACTTTTGTATCCACGATTTGTTGGTGATGCTGGGGATGTTGGTGGGACATGCGCGGGATAAACGATGCTGGGGATGTTGACGTGCTAGTGTAAGATAGGGTAACTTCAAATTCGAAATGCTGCACAAAAAAACAACATTTCACTTGCCAAGACGAAAAACGGGAACCCCCCCCACGGAAACAAAACCCCCCACGGAAACAAAAAAACAACAACAGTAAAAAAAAACAAAAAAAAACGCACACACCAAAAAAAACACAACAAACAGAACACGCAAAACAATGCCAGACTAATTCCGCACCCATATAGTTTCACTGCCGAAATGATGCCCAAAGGGTCCGGGACAACATCTAGGAGTACCCCACGCCTTGTCTTCAGGTGAGCTCTCGGAAGAAGACGTCAAGCAGGCCGCGACGTGCGATGATCTCCGAGGCAGGTCCAAATAAATCACATGGCAAGGCGAGTGCGGGGCTTTCTCCCCTTAGCTTCCCACCTTCAGAGAACCAAAGTGGAAACCGAAGCCCGTCCTTCTTGGACTGATGTCGAGGCAGGTTTGGTCATATCCATGCTTTGGGACATTGGGGGACTGAGATTCTAAGGCTCGCAGCGGTGCAGGCCCCGGTTCGGCGCTTCGCATCTTTGGAGGTTGTGCCATGGCAACCCAGCAACTTATTAAAAGTTTAAAAATATGCATGTTGTGTAATACATATGTATATATACACATAATAATGATGTTGCAGACTTTGAGCACGTTGCGCAGCCATCTGGGCAAAAGACAATCTGCCGCTACACGCCATGTCTGCATGGTAGCGGAGCTCTACGGCACGATTCAGGACACCAACAACAGGAGGAGGACTCCGAGGGTGATCCTCAACAGGAGGAGGAGAGCTGGAGGTGGCTGACCGCCCTCGCGGCTTTGGTGATCTACGCGGTGGACGGCCACTACGTGGTGATCGGGCTGGCCCTCGATGACAGAGATGGAGCAGATTGTGAATGGCCTCAGGCAGGTGCAGCAGCAACTGCAGGTGGTGCAGGCAGAGAACCAGCAGCTGCGGGACCGGATCCAGGCCGCTGAGCAAGGCCCGACAGGGGGCACCGGGAGCGCTGGGTCCTTGGAGGTGATCACGGCGCTGCAGAAGCTGCCGGAGGCGTTGGAGAAGATGAGCAGAGGGGGTCGAGGCCTGATCGATCAGAAAGGGCTTGGTAAGCCCCAGATCTTGGGTGAAGATGCGGAGGCGAAGTTTCGGGTCTGGGCGGTGAAGCTTGAGGACTACGTGGCGGGCGTCTTTGGTGGGAAGGCGCGAGAGGTCTTGGAATGGGCGGCCGGGAGTGAGCTGGCAATCACGGAGCACGAGGTGGATGTGACGTATGGGCTGGCGGCGGATCTCACGGAGGAGTGGGATGAGGTCACGGAGTTTGATCACCAGCTCTACACCGTCCTGAGGTCGACAACGGAGGGGGTGGCCTTCGACATCATTGGGTGCGCCGATGGGTGCTGGACTGGAGGCGTGGAGGTTGCTCCACAAGAAGTACGACCCGGCGACGGGTGGGCGCAAGCGGATCATGCTCCAAGCTTTGAAGGATGGAAGGCCTTGAGAGGCCGCTACAATAAGAAGAAGGATCAACTCGGCCGCCGCGAAGACTTGCCAGACTCGCTCGCCATGAATGCCTTAGAAAAATTGGTTCCAAAGGAGATGGAGATGCATTTACTGCTGAACTTCTCCAGGCTCAAGAACTTTGAGGAGATGGAGGCAGAGGTGGTGACCTTCATGGAGGCGAAGACTGGGAGCAAGATGGCGGTGAGCAGCAACTTCAGCAAGAGCACCGGCGGAGATGCAGTTCCCATGGGTGTGGATTCGCTGGTGAAGGCGGTGTCGGGCAACCTTGCGTCCTTGGTGAAGGGCAAGGGCAAGGGTGGCAAAGGAGGTGGCAAAGGTGGCGTCAGGTTTGAGGGGACGTGTGACAACTGCGGAAAGAAGGGTCACCGGAGGAAGGACTGCTGGTTGAAGCCATCTACCGGAGGTGGAAAAGGTGTAAAGCCCCCTGGCGCCGGCAAAGGATCCCAAAGAAGTTTGAGGGCAATTGCCACAATTGCGGGAAGCCAGGACGGAGGAGCGTCTTTCAATGCAAGCCCAAAGAGCTCAAAGGACCGTTCCAAGGGCAAAGATTCTGGGGCATTGGAGGATCAGGGGGAACCTGAAGGAGAAGCCAATGCACGACCGCGGACAGAAAGAAGAAGGTTGGGTCGTTTGCGAGAAGGATGAGGTCTCAAGCGGCGCCAGCCGGAAGTGGGACTTGGCTGAAGAAGAAGTACCATGAGAACCCGCAGGAGAAGTCCAACTCATTCAAGACGGCGAGCGGGGAGTTGATCAGGAACTACGGGCCGGTCGGAGTGGTTGGATACGACGTTGGTGGAGTGAAGAGGAGTATCAACGGCAATGCGACGGACGTGCGCAAGGTGCGCTGGTGAGCGCGGGAAAGCTGCACGCCAAGGGACACTGCACGTGGATGTTCAAGGGCGGCGGCATGATTATGCCCTTGGACCACCCGGTGTGCAAGGAGATGGAGCGGACCTACGAGAGCCAGCTTGGAACCTGGAGGAGACGGGGCTGGCTTGGGCCCAAATCACGTGCTGGGGCGGTGCGAGGAGTGTGTGAACGCCACGGGCATGGTGCAGCAGCACCGGAGGAAGGTTCGTCAGGAGGAGGAGCTGCCGAGTGTGGCCATGGACTATTTGTACCTTGGAGAGGAGGAAGGGTCAAAGCCGAACTTGGTGGCGGTGGATCGCCGCACGCATGATGGCGGCGGTTGCGCTGAAGCAGAAGGCGGACAGTACGGGCCAGAAGACGGTCACGCGGTTCTTGGAGAGCTTGGGGTACCCGGAGGTGGTGATGAAGAGTGATGGAGAAAGGGCCATCGTCAAGATGAAGATTGAGGCAGCAAAGAAGGCAAGAGGAGTCGTAGCCGGCGGGGGAACCAAGGCGAACGGGGCGGTCAAGGAGATCAAATGGAGGACTCGGGCGGTGCTGATGACGGTCGGCAAGAAGGTGCAAGGAGGGGTGCCTGAGGGGCATCCGCTGACACTCTGGGCACCGAGATTTGCAGCCGAGCAGATGAACCGGTTCAAGGTCGGTGCGGATGGGCGCACGCCAGAGGAGAGGAGAACCGGGAAGAAGTGGACAAAGCCGATGCCGGAGTTCGGGGAGAGGATCCTGGTGAAACCGGCGGGGAAAGGAGAGGAGATCTTTTGCGAATGGTGGCGGGCCGGTACCTGGGCACACACAACAGGTTTGGGTCGGTGCTGGTCATGACCGCGAATGGAGTGGCAGTCGGGACGGGGCACCGCACGGTAGCGGAAGGAGACAAGTGGCTGAAGCTGGAGGAAGGCTTGCGGGGAGTTCCTTGGGACGTGAAGCGCTATGTCAACCCGTTATGTCAACCCGTTGGAGGAGCAGCAGCAGCAACAGCCACAGCAGATCCAAGGCCCGCAGGTGGTGGTCATGAGCGGGCTCCCGAAGGGCGGCGGAGGAGGCCCGCCAAAACCTGGAGGCCAAGAGGCGGACGGAGGACATGGTAAGGCACGGACGGTGCGGAAGGCCATGGTGTTGGTGCGGGGCAAGCCATTTCAGCAGGTGAGGCACAATGAAGGCTGATGAAGAGGAGAAAGAGGAGCAGGTGAGGAAGAAGGCCCGAGGTGGAGATTGATGAGAGCAGAGGATGCCGCGGCAGGAGAGGCAGTGCAAGAGCCATCAAGCTCGAGCAGAGGGCCCGGCGGAGGTGAGTCTCGCAAGAGAAAGGGAGGTGAAGGAGATCTCTTGCGGGAAGCAGAGGAAGAAGAGGCCGGCCCGGCAGGAGCTCGGTTGATGGAGGCGGAAAAGGAGTTAGGGCAGAAGATGAAGAGCGATGAGGCAGCGAGCATCGTAAAGGAGCTGGGAGCGTTGGAATTTATCGAGGTGTTTAGGCCGGAAAGGCTGACGAAGGAGTTGGCCAGGTTTGGCTTCCGGGATGGAGCTGGGGTGGACCTGGATGAGATGAAACCAGGAGGTGGAGAAAGATGGGACCCGACTATGAGCTCGTGCAGGAAATGATTACGAGCTCCCCACCGTGCACAACGTTCAGCCCGCTGAGGAATATCACCAATCCAAAGCGGGGTCCAGAGGTGGTGCTGGAGGAGGAGGAGCTCGGGAAAGCCCGTGTGAGAAAGGCGATGAGCTGCAAAGAGGTCCCAGGCAATGTTGGAGAGGCGAGACACATGGCTGGTCACAAGCCCGATGTGCCGGTTTGGCATGAAGATGGAAACCCGGACGGTGAACTACTACACGTCCGGAAGGAGACGAGGTGGATGACCAACTCGGAGTGCGTTGCAAAGGAGTTGGAGGGCCAGTGTGAGAACTTGCTGGCTGGAGGAGAGGTGCATCGCCACACGCACCTGATTGGGAAGAACCGTGCAAAGATGGCACAGGTGTACCGGAAGGAGCTGGTGGAGGCAATCCTGAGGACTACGGGATCGGTGGTGAAGAACGGCGAGCGCACGCTGATGGTGAAGGGCGCAACGCAGAAGGTGTTTGCCCTGTCGTCCTCGGAGGCGGAGTGCTATGGGATGTGCAGGACGGCCACGCTAGGCGAGTTCATGCGGGGGCGTGGCGGAGTTTTGGACGGGGGCGATCAAGCCTTTGACCTTGAAGGTAGACAGCAGTGCGGCAAAGGCGATGTCTCAGCGCCGAGGAGTTGGGCGCGCACAGCATGTGCTGGACAAGGTGAAAGGCACGATCAACGCCGCTGACCTCGTCATGCTCCGGGATCACTTGAAGCGTCTCGGCTATGACAAAGCCGAGCGCAAGGGCCACAAAGGGCTCACGTTTTAGGGTGATGCCGCAAGAGGTGGCTCCCCTTTTGACATCCAGGGGGTGCAGACTTTGAGCACGTTGCGCAGCCACAATCTGCCGCTACACGCCATGTCTGTGCAGATGTACACAAATAGGGGCATGTAAGGTTTATGCAGCGGGCAAACAATGTGTATTAAAAGGTATATGTTTGGGCAGGCACAAGGTCAGACGCAGAGCATTGGGAGCTGCAGTGGCGGGATTGAGGTGATGACAAGTCGCAGGAGGTGCAGGGCTTTGCTTCTTGCGTTGCATGTTCAAGCCCTTGAATCAGTAGATTTCTGAGACATGACGCAGGCTAAGACTGATGAGGCTGGGCCGGGGAAGTTCTCTCCGGCTGTGTGTGTAGAGATTTGGAGGCCTTGGACCAGGCAAAAGCGCTGGCCGCGAAACAGGCCGAGGGCCCGAAGCGGAATGAGCCTAAACAGAAGCAACGTTCTGTGGCAGCAGCCTCTCTTGATTTATGGAACCAAACTGTTTTATGCAGGCAGAGGCTGACGAAGCAGCAGCGGAAGCTAGAGCCTCCGCAGAGGCCCGTGTCGCAGCCGAGGTGGGGGGGGAGGGTGGTGGTGGGTGTGAGAGTGAGGATCCGGGATCGTTGCATGACACGAGCAAAGAGATATGCAGGCTCAGGCAGCAACAGCGTTGGGCGAAGTTGCGTGCGGCGGCGTGCGCTTGAGATCATATTTGGGGGCCTGCGCAACGCCAGCAAAACGCTGGATGCTTGACTTGTGCAAGCAGGGGAAGGTGGCACGCATTCCTTGATGGAATGCAAAGGTGCGTCCAGCTTGCATGTGTCTCTACGCAGGCAGAGGCCGCAGCAGCAGCAGCAGAAGCGATAGCCTCCGCAGAAGCCCGCGCCGAAGCCGAGGTCGGATTTGTCGGACTCTTCAGCCACGGACCCGTACACAAAGGTTTCCGCATGAACCCCGAAGCCATGTTACATCGAAACCATCTTCAACAAATCACGCGCCAGGCTCGCGCGTCTTCTGCGACCGCAGAAGCAGAAGCCGCCCTGCAAGCTCGCCGAGCGGCCGAGGCGAATCACCGGAGTCACCGGACGCCGAGTGGTTCGGTCCGTCCGTCGCGAGGCGAAGGCGCAGGCTGCGGCCGAAAGTTTGTCCGCGGCGGAGCAGAGGATCGCCGCAGCAGCGCAGACAGCTGCAGAGGCGCGGGTAGGATGGGCCTTGCATTATTTATTTATATGTTTGTCTGGGTCGTTCTTTCAATTGTTTCTAGGGGTTGATTTCTCTGGTTTTTCTTTATCCCATCACTTTGGGGGTGATTTTGATCATGGTAAAACATGTGAGGCCAGTGTGTGAGGCCAAATCTGCGGCCGATGCCTGGGCTGCGGAGGCCAAGGCGAACGCAGACGCAAAGGCGGGAAAAGGAAGCTGTGGGGTTGGCTCGAGGGGCTTCGTTTTGCTGGTGTTTCTCATAAACCATGGGGCAAGGTGTTGGGGGTTGGGGGTGGCGGTTGGGGGGGGGGTTAAGATTTTCGCTTGGCCCCCTTGCTCAAGGGCCTAGGGGAGCAGTTCTTCATTTTGAGAATGTTTGCGTGTTGCCCATGTTCGGCTCGGTCTGTTAAAAGACAAAGAATAACATGAAAGCTTTCCCCAAGCATTTGAGGCTGTGGGGGGAGCCATAAACGAACCAGAAGGGGCTGATGTCTGCCAGACACTTGGCACTGTCGAAGATGTCCTCCTTTATACAGCGGGTATTTAGTGCATTGATTTTGGTTGGGTGATGGTGCAAAAACGGTCTGAAAAGGACCTGTGTCAAATTCGGGAATTTGGATTCCCGAAACGGATTTCAGTTTTCCTACTGGTTTGAAATAGGGTGCCAAGCCTCAATCAAAACGTGGTTTCCTTGAAAGCACACACACAGGCACATGGCCCATATATAGATCGATAGTTCCCTTAGTCTTGAGAGTCACCGGTTGGTTCGCCAGGCGGCTGCGCACGTGCGGCTGACAGCTCTGCGGAATGAGGCGGCCAGCGCCAGCGACCGCGTTGCGGGTCTCGGGGAGCTCAATGAGCGGCTGCGCTGGGGGCTGTTGGCTGCCGGCCTCCGACAGAAGGCGGGGGAGACAGGAAGAGGTCGCCCCTACACAGCTTTCGGGAAGACAGGAGGAGGGTGTTTGCTTCCTCACTTGAAGCCAATGCCCAAACGAAGTGCAGATTCCCCCTCACTTCAACCGCCAATTTTCAGACGAAACGGATGTGGAAAAACTGGTGGCTCCGCCAGCGAGCGATGTCCTCTGAGGAGCTGTGCCTTGCCACGCGGCTCCTGCGCGTTGCGGTTGGGGACTTCCGAAGAGCCCAGGACACGCAGCGCCGCTGGCGGCAGGTGGCCTTTCAGGCACTTAAGTGGGGGGGGGTGTTGTTTTTGCTTCGCAATTGACCCTGCACCACACGCATGCCATTTTGGCTCAAGGCCCTATCGTGTAGTACCGTTGCATCCATCCTGCAGCCATTACAAAAAGGACCTAGCAGAGCGCCTTGCAGGTATACATTGCACATTTCCAGAACCAGGACTTCCATTCTCAGGTCCTCCACTATTGGCATCTTGGATTCTCTTGCAGAATAGATCCAGGGACCTACCAATACATTCTCTACTACCACAAGGTACCTGCTCCCTTCGCTCAATTGTGGTAGCGGAGCGGGTTTTCCGCAGAGATCCAAACACAATGTCATCCGATGGAGAAGGCTTCATGGAAGCCTATGCAAGTGTTCATCCGGCTACACTGAAGAGACGCTCAGCTTATCGATGACCGCCAAGCAGCCGCCGTACGACGGAAGAGTCAGCTGGTTTCGATATGAAGAACTTGCAGGAGACGCTCATATGTACAAGGCCGTCCTCCAGAACGACCTTGCAAGATCCTGACGAAGGAGTCAACTATTTCAAGAACACGCTGAAGAAGTTCTTCCTGAAAGGGTTGACCAACGTGTACTTATACAGACTCCTCAGTTTCTTCAATCATAGGAGGCAGAGCACCGAGTTCCTCATATCTACATCAAAATTTGAGATCCTCTTGATGAGATTGAAGGCAGCCTTCATACGGCACAGTCACCAGAGTTCATAGCTTCAGTCCAAGAGGCCAATGCAAGAAGAATTGCCGCGCGCCAACAAGCCGCTGGCGCACGAGCACCGCCTCCAGATCTGCTGCAGACAGACAATCCAGAAGTACTCAGACAGCGCCTTACAGGCATGCAGACAAGGCACCGCGACGCATTCCCCCTCAGCGACAACCTCATTGCACAGTTTTTCTTAATCCAAAGTGAATAGTCAGATCAGCAAAGGGAAAGACTGATCAGTGCAATGTCATTGTGAAACATCTCGCTTGAGATTTATACCTACGAGATGATGAAAGCACAGTACCATGACCCCTTCGTCACAACTAGAACATCCATCCAAGATCCGTCCATCCGGCCATCCGGAGGAAACCGAAGCAACACTTTCTACATTCTCGAACAGGGAGAATACGAAGGAGAAGAAGGCTTTTGGGTGGAAGACGAAGAAGGACAAGAAGGTTTCATGTCCACCAACGATGAGGAGACTTTGGGTACTAGAGGAGAACGATGCGTTCGTTGCGAGAAAAGTGTCTTGGCAGAATTTCAGACTCAAAAAGAGAAACGGAAAAGGAAAATCGACAAGCAAAAAGGGCAGTCACCAACGAGGTGGCTTCAAACCCTGTCGAAAAGGTAGCTCTGGCGGGAAGGCCAATATGGCCAACCAAAATCAGGATCCCTACGACCAGGAAAGGCAAAGGAAAGAAGGGAAAGAAAGGAAAGTCGAAATTCCCATATCCCTGTGATGGAAACAAAGGTTATCCATCCTAGGACAATGGCAAAGGACAAGGCGGACATCGCAGAGAAGACGGAGGAGCAGCCCGCCATTCAGCCGACTGCACCACCCGCAGAGCCTACATATGCCGGTTGGACAGATCAGGATTGGGATCCATCCTGGAATTGGAGTGAACAAGGCTGGTACTCATCCCATGAGTCATCCAGCGCAGCGCAAGCGATGATGGCATTCCATGATCAGCATCGATGAGAAGCTGATCCAAGCCGATGCAGTTTCTGCACAGTCAATGACAGCGACAGCAAAACAAAGCCTTTTGGCAACAAAGCTGATGGCGCCTGTCATCAACCCGCGGCGCAATCCGACCTATGCGATCCTGGACAACGGATGTACCAGATCCAGGGGCAGCTGGCATGCAATCCAGCGTTTTACCCAGGCCATTGAACCTATGAAGAACCTCATCTCCTACTCGTACATCCCGGCCGAGACCAAGTTCACTTTTGCAAATGGAGAGACAGCCAAGGTAAACTGGACCTTGCGCCTCAAGTATCATACGACACCTCCATGCAGCACCAACATCGACATCCTTGAACAAGGAACTGTACCGATTTTTCTGAGCATTGGTCAGATGCGGAACCTGTACATGACCATCGAGCATACACCTCAATGTGACAAGATTACGTGTAAGGCTTTTGGCGTGACTCGTCAAGCAGTTCCGGTGTCCGGTGCAGGACATGCGCTCGTCGATATTGCTGGAGTAGCAAGCCCCATGGAGAGACCGCCATCAAGGGCCTCACCAACTATGTTTACGATGATGAGGGCAGCGTCCAATTCCCTTCGAGGGAACACTCAGTGAAGAGCTTGCAGCAATCCAGATCAAGCAGCTGTCCAAGCAGGCATTCCAAGAGGCTCGTCAATCCGAGGACATCCGGAGAGACCTTGCTCAGAACCTTCAGGATGAGCTCCAAACCTCTTCAGGTGAAGGACAAGGTATCTTACTGGCAGGAAGACAAATCCAAGATTCGTTCCGATGGAAGGGAGCAATGGTTGGACCTGATCTCGGATCAAGACTCATCAAGGTCAACGTGACGAAGGTCAGAAAGGATGAGACCATCCCTCCGGGGAAACCTGGAATTGATTTCTTATTGCCCGATGAGAAAGAATCCTTGCAGAGGCCAGCATCCTCACGACCGTTACGCATTGCTGGAAAATCAACTCCTCAGCCTGCAGCGTCGAGATCTGCGGAGAACATGTTCGTGGAAGATATGACATCCATCCCTGAGGGATGTGTGCACAAGGGGAAGATCCACGTTCTCGAGATCTTTGCGGGGAGTGCCCGATTCAGTCAATGCTGTGCACTCTCCGGTCTGAAGGTTGGGACTCCGGTTGAACTCCGCTTGACATTCGCAGCGGATTTGACGTAATGACATCCAAGAAACGACACATGGTCATGGAGATCATCAAGGAGCAAGCGCCTGATCATATTCTCATGGCGCCAGTCTGTGGACCGTGGTCAAACATGCAGAACATCCAAAAGGACCAACAGAAAGTTTTGGGAAAAGCCACAGCGCTACATGCCCACGGTTGAGTTCGTGGCATCCATTGCGCGGTGTCAGCTAAAGCACAGAAGATATTTCATCATTGAAAATCCCCAATCATCCAGGATTTGACACTTGCGCTGCATGACGCAACCCTTTTCCGGTCCATCAGTGACTTGGGGAGATTTCCATTTCTGTGCGTACGGACTGAAAGATCCTGAATCCGGACTCAGATGTCTCAAGCCAATAAGCTTGATGCACTGCTTACCTCCCGAGGTAATGAGACCGATTTTCGAAAGTGTGCAAACTTCACTTGTTTAGTGAAACATGGGCATCAATTTCTCGGGGAAATGCAGGCACTTACGGAAGCAGAGCCAAACTGGCACAGGTGTATCCTTACCAGTTTTGCCAGGATTTCGCGCACATCATCCTACGTCACGAAACCGCTCGCTTGACAATGAAGTGTACCTCCTTGAGGATACCTTTGAGCCGTTCACCGCCAAGCAGGTAGATTCAGGTAGATGTCCTTCGACAGGAGACGGCTGCCACCGAGAAGGAGTTCAACGTGACTAGCAGCAGCACCGCTGTTAGAATCCAGGACCTCCCGTGCAACAAGAATGTTCCGCCACTAGTCATCAACAGTCACCCAGTTCAGAAGTTTTAGGGGACACTGAAACAATACCCTTTGGGGACTGAACTCGACGTTTTCAAACAGAATCCAAATGACTGGCGATGTCAGTACATGTGGAATGGTTGCAAGAAGTTGAGGCAATTGTGCATCTCGTCCACACAGTACGATGCATGTGCGGCATATGTCCACACGATTGGCATCAACATGCCTATCAACCCACCTCCGGACGATGCCGTCATAGCCTTCTGGCAACCAGATCAGCTGAACAGGAGTTGGGTCTTGCCAGCGCAATCCGAAGACGTGGCGTGCGGTGATGTACTCATCAGTCCATCACTCTTTCTCAAATGCACCGGCTATCAAGCCAATGCCCGTCGAGGTAGATCCAATGGATCCGACGATTTCGCCTCGACCTTCTGACGCACAGGAGCCGCCTGATCAACCGGACCATCCCATGATCCAAGGCCTCCAACTCCTCCAGACGAGAGCATCCTCCTCCGGATCCTCCACATCAGCCTGATCAGAATGATCGACCAGATCATCCATGCCGCCAGCGCGACCAGGTGTCGGTGTCTCACCAGACACAGACAGTCCAGTAGATCCACCGCTGCCGCCGCGTGACAAACTGGACTCAGGGGGTGATGTTCCTTTGCCGTCTCAGTCGCCAGCGTCTCAACCGATTCTTCCGACTGTCGTGGTGCCACCACCACCTGCAATTCTGACGAACCCCAAGGCAGAAAACGATGATGAAGAGCTTGAACTGCCCAACCTTGCGCAAGAAGAAGAAACAACTGCACCTCCTGTGCAGAGCAGTTCATCCAAGAAGCAGAAGACAGGAAAGAAGAAGAAGCCAGGTGAGAATCCAGACGACGAAGATTCGCCTGGTTCATCTCTCAAGAACGAACCTGCAGCTTCATCCAACTTCAATCCGAACAATCCAGTCAACTTGCCGATGCAATCTGACAGCGAGGAAGAGCTACTCCCTCACGTCCCAACTTCATCCGGCGCTGGAAGTTCACAGAGGACTTTGCAGTACACTGGCCGAGAAGAAGATGAATCTGAAGACTCTCAGAGGACGATCAGGAAGCCGACCTTGTTCTTGATGAAGCACACTGGTCACTCATGACATCCGATCAGAAGATCTGTGCCAACACAGGATCCTTTACAGTTCCGAGAGACATCGAAGGACACCCTGTCCTTCTTGGACAAGTAAAAGGGACCTTCAAACCATCCAACAGATGTGGATTCTCTCACCAGAAACACACAGACAAGGATCACGTTGACCGGCTTTGCAAGAACATGACAGACGATGACCGAGCACCTTTGGTATTGTGTTCATACAAGCAAGAATCCTTGAAGGCTTCATCAACATCCGCACTTATCGGTTCGGA